TTCCAAGAATATAGTAGTTGCTCATCCCCATGAGTCTGAGTATCTCAGCTGGTCTTCAGTAGATGCTGGAATCCTAAAGAAGTAGGCTCCCATGACAGTGAAGGAATGGATGTGCTGACAAGGTGAGGGCAAGCAGGCCAAGAAGGAACAAATGAACCTTCCTTCTTCCGTTATCCTTATATAGGCTTCCAGCAGAAGGTGTGTCTCAAATTAAAGGTATATGTCACCCCACCTCAAGATCTGGTGCTGTGGGATGGTCTGTATGTCAAAGGTGTTGCTGATTGGTCACTAAATAAATCACTGATTGGCCCGTGGCCAGGCAGGAAGTATAGGCGGGACAAGGAAGAGAATAGAGCTGGTAAGTGGAAGGCTGAGACACAGAGACACTGCCAGCCGCCATGATGAGAAACAGCATGTGAAGATGCCGGTAAGCCATGAGCCAAGTGGCAAGGTATAGATTAAATGGAAATGGATTAATTTAAGCTGTAAGAACAGTTAGCAAGAAGCCTGCCACGGCCATACAGTTTGTAACCCATATAAGTCTCTGTGTTTACTTGGTCGGGTTTGAGCGGCTGTGGGACTGGCAGGAGATAGAGATTTGTCCTGACTGTGGGCCAGGCAGGAAAAACTTTAGCTACAATCTGGAGTAAAGCTGTGTGTCATCCTGCCTCAAGATCTATAGCAAAAGCCTATGTCTTCAAGCCTCAGGATCTTGATTACAATTATGCCCTCCATTTCTGGATCATAGTTCATTCCAAAGATAGTCAAATTGACAACCCAAGAATAGCCATCACAGAACCCAATGATGAGGACCCACAAAGTGTTATCCTCTCCAGCTGTAAAGGCTAACATTTGCTTTTCAATTCTAAGATCAAGTTCACACACGTAAGCATGATGCATAGCATCTCCATGATCTGGCCATGCTTGTGAGCCCTCAAGAATAGCACTCGCTGCTCTGCACTGTAATAATGTGTGTGCCTTCCTGATGAGGGCTTAGCAAACTCTAATCCTTAGAAAAACATCAGAAATCCAGAAGATGAACAATGGATTCTGAAACATGTACAGACTGACTCTATACAAAAGCTGCACACAAGCCCAAAGGGCAAAGCCAAGAGCAGTGAACCTTAGGTTGGGAAATGTCCCAAGAACTCATCGTCCTGATTGTTTCCTTGTTAACTTGATATACCTAGAATCACCTGGGGAGAGGGAGCCTCACTTGGAGAACTGCCTCAATCAGATTGCCCTGTGTCAATGTCTGTGAGAGTCTGTTTTGATTGATGATTTGGAAGAGCCATCCCAGTGTGGGTGGCATCATTCCCTAGGCAGATGGGTCTATGTTATATAAGAAAGCTAGTTGAGCAGGAAAGTGAGCAAGCCAGTGAACAGTGTTTCTCTGTGGTTTCTGCTTCAGTTCCTACTAGACTTTCCTCCATGATGGACTGTGACCTGGAAATATAAGCTAAAGGTAATTCTTTTCTTCCCTAAGTTGCTTTTGGTGTTGGTGTTTAACACGGTAACAGAATTCAAACTAGAACACTCAAAAGCAGGCATTTCTTCTGCCACAAGGAACTCTAAGCTCCTTCTGGGAAGTCTGTTTATAAGCTATGACCATGAAATAATGAGCTTCAGTTCCCCCCTACAGATGTACCAAGAACTGTGGTCCTTTCTGTGCACTCTTTTTAAGAAATCATGGACATATTCTAAAATGGCTACATTTGCTCAATTAAGCCTTTCTAGGAACTAAGGTTAGATTTTTGTTTACAAAAAGCAAATCTAATTTGTATATAGGCACACTTATTTCTGGAAGAGCATTCTCCCAGTTTGAATTCCTACCAAATTCATAGGACACAGCTTCTGGACAGCTTTGAATAGCTCCCAATGACAAATCCATCCTCCAAGGATAAAATGTGCCATAATTAAACATGTTTAAGACATAATTTACCAAGAGTATTGGTAATTTGTGTGTGTGTGTGTGTGTGTGTGTGTGTGTGTGTGTGTGTGTGTGTACCTCCTGTGTCATTTCTCAAGCACCACCAACCTTTTTTGTTGAGACAGGGTCTCTTGCTGGCCCAAGGCTCCAGTATTAGGTAAGGCTGGCTGGCTAACAAGCCCCAGGGACCCACCTATCTCTGCCTCCCCAGCAGGAGAACTCCCATCATGTGCCACCATGCCTGGCTTTTTGATGTGGGGTCTGGGCATCAAATTCATGAATTATTGCTTACAACCAAGCGTTTTACCAACCGAGCTAGCGTTTTACCAACTGGACTATCTCCCCAGTTCTTCACTCCATCAGCATTCTAAAGGGATAGTTCCAAACATGCTTTGAGCAGTGGTTGAGAATCTTGAGCGTAAGTGTAAATCTCTTAAAAAGACAGGAGTTAAAAACAATAGCACACTTTAGAACGCTTCGTTCTCACACGCTGCGTAAGAGTCATGCGCAGTCGCTGTGAACATTACAGGGGTCTGTTGGACAGCGTTCACCTGTGTGCACCCTTATCGAATGCTCCGAAGAACTGCATGAAAAGAACATACGCAGTAACAGTTGACCCTGACTGAGTGTCCCCTATTAGTCAGGGACTCTGCTAAGGGATTTCATGGAAATCTGTATTTCATAAACAAAAATGAACCTTTGAAAAAGCGAAGAATCTTGCTAAGGCCACAAAGACATTAAGAGAAGTAAGATTTGTGGGCAAATTTATCTGATTTGTTCTTAATTACTTAGATTTATATACTGTGGTATAAGCTACAGGCCCTTAACCACTGTGATATGACCTCCTAATTTTTAAAAAAGATTTATTAATCATTTTTAATTATGTGTAAGGGTGTGTGTTTGTGTGTGTGTGTCTACATGTGAGTATGTGCACTTGAGTGCAGGTATCTTCTGAGGTGTTGGATCCTCTGGGTAGAGCTGGAGTTACAGATGGTTGTGAGCTGCCTGTGGATGCTGGAAATCAAACCCAGGTCCTCTGGAAGAGCAGCCAGTTCTCTTATCTGCTGAACCATTTCTCCAACCCCGACTTACTGATTTACATATACATATTCATACACAGATATAGATATATGTAGATATAGATATATACATATATAGATATATGTAGATATGTATACAAATACATATATAGACATGTATAGGCATGGATATATATAATATGCTTATTATATATGTTATATATAGCCTCTCTATATAAAATAGGTCCCAACTCACGTTTCCTTTCAATAAGAACATCGTCTAGTTCCACGCTCAGCATCACAAATTGTAAACTATATTGGTGATAGTGGTCTAACAAGGACAAAAGAGGGTGTGAGTAGGAACAACAGGACAAAGCTACTCCATATAGTTCAGTTCCTCTACATTCTCCCATCCGGAAAGCCAGGGCCATTGGTCTGAGCCTTAGCTCTCAGAGGAGGAATTACCCAGCAGGCACCAGGCCAGGTGCAGCATGGGGCTTTGTAACTTGTTTTCTGTTCCTTTCACTCCAGGTAAGTCCCTGCAGTGGCAAGCCTCAGTCACTCCATCCTGACATCCTGAATGGGCCCATTCATCTCTATTCATCTCTCTCCTTCAGTCTCCCCCTATGCATATTTATAAAGACCTCAAGAATCCTAGGATCCCATAAAAATGCAAAGTACAATTATTATTAATGATGATACAGTTAGCAAGGAAGACATTTGTTATTTCTACTCAATTGCTTTCCCCCGGGAGCAGAACCCTTTTTTTTTTTTTTTTTTTTTTTTTTTTTTTGATATGGTGTTAATGCGCCGTCCTTGGCTATTTTCATCCTCAGTGATTCTCCTGGAGAAAGTTTGGCGGCAGACTCAAGCCATGCCATTCTCTTCCTTTTGCCGTACTGCATTGTCTGAGCCCTGGTTGCTGGTGTAGATGAAACTGTGGGTCATTATTTGATTTCTGGTCTCAGGAAACACTGTATTAGGATCAAGGCAGTTAGACTAGGGGACTTCCTTTCTTGCCGAGGTAGTCACGCTAGTCTGTGCAGGCAGCTCCGACTCATAGATCCAGTTTTATTTCCCCATTTATTCACCTGGAACTAAGTGAGTTTTTCAAGGCGAAGGGTGAACACATTTCCTTATGTAAGCAGTCTTCCAACAGTTCCTAATCACCATTGTTTCTCAGACAAGCGCGCAAGCGGCTGGCGGGCTGAGGCTGGGGGCCATTTCCATTCTCTGTTCGCTGCCTTCCATTGTAATTTCAGAGGCGTTTACAGAGAAATACTGAACCAGTTTGGGATTTCCCCATAATGATCGACTTCCTCTAACACACACCAAAACCGATTCAAATGTGAATTTCCACGAGGAAAGGGCTCCCCGAAAAATCTCCATTTTCTTATGCCCTTCAGAAAGTACCTTGCCTTTCTTTGGGCTCCCATCCCCCGCTCCCACCCTCCCTCCAGCCCCGCACCCCGCCTTTCCCTCCTTCTTAAGAAGACTTTCCCAGGTCCCTCTTGGCTGTGGTTGAACGACGTTGGCTGCAGTCCATGCCGCAACAAAGCCCTGGCATTCCAGCTGTCTGCGTCTAATCCCAGTGTCAGCTCTCGTTAATGTGTGAGCGTGAAATCAGAGGGGGCAGAGCTGCACGGAATATTAAAACCATGATCAGAATTCCACTGAGATGCTGGGAGGCTGCGAGCACCATTAGAGGAGGCTGTCAAATCACGGCTTCGCATTAAATAAAAGATTTCTATCGGAGCAAAGTACAATCAGTGAATCGCTGAGCTAAATTAGCATTTTTTCAATTGGAGATCGAAGGTGATTTATTGTTCTACACGACATTAATGTAACTATGTGCTTGACCCGCTAAGGCAGCTAATTTTTCATTTAAATGGTTTCTTTCCTTCCCGGTGCAAAGGCTGCAATCATATTTCAACTTTGCCGAGTGATCAGAAAAGTCCTGGAATGCTGCAGAAATGCCGTCCCCTCCCTTCTCCTTCCTTCCCTTTTTCCAGCTCCGGAGCCTTCCTCCTCCCCTCCCCTTCCCTACTAACCTCGTGGCTGGTGGTCAAGGTCACAGAGGAAGAGTAATCTCAAAGCCACCGACTTCAAAGCCTCCATCAAAGAAGCCCCCACGTAGCCATTGAATTAAAAGGGAGTGGGGGAGGGTGGGGTCCAGGCACTGGCCGTTCCTATCAACAAGAAAAGACCCTTTAACTGCCCTGCTGATAGGGCCCAATCCGGGGCATCCTGGGTCCAGTCTCTCTTGCAGCCCTCTTGCTGTGCCGCCCTCTCTGGCATCCTCTCCAGCCCCCTCCCCTGCACACACATCGCCTCAAAATAATATACATTTCCAATTAGCAGAGCACATTCTAGCCATGTTCTCTTTGACTGCCCTAACTGTCTTCCTTTTTGCTAAAAAGCAAGGCTGTCATTAATGCAGCCCTGCAGCTCCATTAATCCGAGGTACAATGCAGCTTTTCTCTCCCAGGCTCCCCTGAACATAAAAACTACAGTTACCCAAGCACCCCTCTTCTATTTAGATTCCTTGTCAATTGTCTTTCATTACCTACCTGATGTAACACAGTAGCCATCGAAGCTCTTGAACACAGAACAGAAACACGCAATTCCATTCATTTCCCAATGCCCTTGTTTTCAAAAGGCAGCTGGTATTTTTGTTGTGGGTGTTTTTTAAGCACATGGATTTTAATCTCTGGAAATTAATGAATATATTTTAGGGTACACTGGGGCCCCTAGCATGTGGCCAACTTGTTGGATTTAGAACAAGATGGACGTGCCGGCTGAACCCTGGGTGAATTACATTTTCACATTTCTCTGAATTGCTTCTTACGGAATTAGTTCATTGTGTTCCCCATTGAGAAGAAGGGGAGGAGCGGACAAGGAGTGGTGGGCAGTGGAGCTGACATCTGCCATGCCTTACCACTGTAAATGTGATTCTAAAACTAAACAGACGTTGTGCCAGGAGCCAGCATGCATATTTCACTTGTCCTCTTCCCATCCCGACACCTACTTTGTGAGATCACAGATTGAGATATGTAGAGGAGGTATGAAAGTACTACCTATCCTGAGGATATGAGGCCAAGGACAGACACGGTCACTGTACCAGGCTTGACTATGGACAGATGAAGGGATTGTGCCCTGCCTCACCCCCACCCCCACAGCCTCAAAACAAAAGTGATGAAGTTCCTTCAAGGGTCAGTGAATTGGGAGAAACTTCCCTCCCACCTCCGTCACAATGGGACCTAATTGGCACCCTCTGGTCAGCCAAAAGGCCATGGAGTGATTGGGTCAGGGTGCTGACCTCTGTTCTGACTCAGGGAAAGGGCCTCTCGATAGGCCAAAGGTGAGGCTTAGGGTGAGCAGTTGGATGCTGGAAACATGTACCTGCCACCATTGTGTCAAAGTTGCTCATTCATGCTCATTTTTTTCTAAAGTTAGGAAGTAACTCCATCCTTCTCCCAGATTGGTCATCACTGAGATTCAACTCTAAATAAGAGGCGTGGATTTCATTAATCAAAGACAAGGAGAATTTGGTCACCAAATATATGAAAATGCCTGCAGGTACTGCACACTGCTTATTCCACTTCTCTTTTGGTTGATTTCCACAGGACCTCTGTACCAACAGGCCCTATCTGTCTAGATCAGTTTTCTTTCTATCCCTTGTCACTCATTAAGGAGCCAAGAGGTGTCACAGCATGCCATTCCCCTAATTCCCACCTGCAGGGCAACCCTACTCCAAACCAAATCAAAGAAGCCAAAGTCAAGGCTGGATTCTTTTGTGCCCTCTCTAAGAATGAAGCTGCCCTTATATGGCAACATCTTTGGAATACAGTTTTGTTCTTTGAACTGAGGACCTTCAGGATATTCTGGTCACTCCTGGTACACAGCCTAGAACTCCAGCACAAGGAAGACAATGCCCACAGATGGTCAAGCAGTCCATATGGTTTGCCACACACCAAGACCTCAGCAGTCAACTCGAACCCAAAAGGTTGGCAAATGCTAGACTTGGAGCCGGGGAGACACGTTCTGGGGGTAGAAACTCAAGAGGGGGAACCAATCTTGTAGCAGAGCAGACTACAAGGGGTAGCCAGACTGTAAGCCACATTGGTTGGCAGGTATGGTTCAAAAATGCTTAGCATCCAAAGGCCTGATCCAGTAGACTTTTGGAAGGAGGGTGGAGCAAAGGATGGAGTCATGAGACCCACTCATTCTGCACAAACCCTCAACTCACAGGGTCTTCTCCAGAGACAGAAATGCTGTAATGAGTATCAGAGTCTTTCACCAGGTGAGCCCCCCAGGACAGACCCAGTCCTCAGGGACAATGAGAGCTCTGGTGGCATAGACGTACAGCAGACTCAAGAAATAGACTCAAAAGAGCAACCCTGGCCTTAGAAGCAGTTCTTGGGTCCCTCACCTTAGGAAAGATCACACCAAGTATGACTCCATAGAGCAACTGTAAGGGTTGCACCTAGATTTAGATCTGCATGTATGTGTGTGGTAGATCATGCACGTGTGTGTGTGTGTGTGTGTGTGTGTGTGTGTGTGTGTGTGTGTGTGTGCTCATGTGTGTATCATAAATCACACTCATTGCTCAGTGCTCATCATACTGTAAATGATGTCATGTAAGTCCCTCTTCTTAGGCACCATTCAAAGGCTCCAGGCTGACCCAGCTGATTCAGATTTCAGATTCAATGACCGTGAAGGTATTTTGTTGGTGGTGATGATTTGCTTTTGTTGTGTTGTGTTTTAATAAAAAGAAACAAACATTTGATAAGACTAATATGTATGATGTTAGACATTTTCATATATGACTCACTTAATTCCACCCCAAAATACTCAATAAATCACTACAGCAAGGCTACGATCTAAGGAGTCTATGACTATGCTCCTCCTTAAATTATGATTGATGTTGGTAAAAATACTGAAAGTCAAGTTCCAAGGTCTCACTCCAAATGACTCACTCTTAAAAAACACTGTGAATATTTGAAATATCCACTCCCAAAGGTGGCCATTTGTAAAAATTGGGGTTTAAAACATTCAGAATATAAAGCTGGTTAGAAAGAACCATTGAGAGTAGAAAACCACAGTAGATGGGAATGAGAATATTAGTTAATAATAGGACCCACTTGAGCATGTACCAAGTGCCTACAGTGTTCCAAACATCAAAGTACATGCATTAATAGATTCTGATCCTTACACTGACCCAATAAAGTATGTTGTATTATCTCCATTTTAAAAAATGAAGAAATGGGGCAAAGGTGTTAACACCCTCGCGCCCCCCCACCCTCCCACCCCCACCCCCACCCCCACCCCGTACATTCACAAACAACCAGAGAAGCTGGGATTTGAACCCAACCAAATTGGAACTTCAGATTCCACACTCTGGCACCATGGTATGCTGCCAGAGAAGAATGCAGCATGATTCTCTGTTACTATTCGAATGTCTTATGGATGTTTCAGGGCAGTAAATTAGAGTCCTATGTCTATGTTTGAGCCAAGAAGCTCTGAATGCAAGCTACAAGCTCTATCCCAAGGCCAGCTTTTATAAGGTTTGCCCATTCATGTACTTTCACCCCAGTACAAACTTGGTCAAGGTGGAAACGGTCAAGGCAGAAGAGAACAAGCTGGCTACAGAGACTTTCAACATCTACTGACTGTAACTACTGAGTGGAAGTAGCCTTCCATTGGGTTCAACTGGGCAAAGAATGAATACATTTCACTACAGGGAAACATCATGGAAACAAGAAAGGAAATACTCCTGGCCCTTAAGAGGCAGGGAAGTTTTTCATGGACATAAAGAAGTGGGGAGCTCCTAGAACTGAGGGACAGTCATGGGCGGAAGCAGAGAAGCTGCAACCCCTCATGTATTCTCACTGAATCCTTCATGCTGCCTTCTAAGTATCCCTGCATTTTCTTGAATCACAGTAGGTCCCCAACATACATTGAACAAATTACATGGATGAAGTTCTCATGAGTACATGCATGAATGACATTAAAATGTGTGTGATACCGAATAATGGGAGGTAACCCAGCACACCGAAGGTGACCTTGAAAGGGACAGGAGAATGGCTTCGAGCCCCCTGCAAATCTGGTTCCTGGTGGCCCCTGTCTTCAGTCTCTCGCCATGCCATGGCATTGTCACGACGGGTGAGAGATTTGTTTGGGGTGGGGGAAGCATATTTTTGTTTGCATTTGCTTAGCACATTGCTGTCGCACATTTTGCTCAGAGATGTAAAGTCATCTGCACACACCGGTTGTGCAGTTAGAACCAAGTCAAAACAAGTGTCAGGCAGGCTGTCAGCCACACGGCCTCGGCAGACTGTCATACTCCTTTGCTTACCCGTGACTGGTGCTGTCTCTTGTCCTCCTCCCTGACTCTCCTCCTCGCCTCTGAAACCTCATACCTACACAGATCCATAGACCTTGGCATCCCCAAGGTCTAATTTCTAATTGGCTTGGCTCTGTAGAAGACAACAATTACACAGAACACAGACCAAGTGCACCACAGGGCAGGTGGTTATTCTTGGTGAACCAACTTTACATCAGCCTCGACTGAAAGCAGTTTTGTGTCAAGAACCCTCAGGAAGCCATCTCACCCTGTATCACAGCATCTCCTGAAAAAAAATGAACTGGGCAGTGGGCCCAAGCCAAATGATAACATTTTCTTTCTGTTGCATGAATCTTAAAGAGTTTTACTAAAAAAAATCAAACCGAAAGCCAGGTATTGGGGTAAATACTGGAAGATCAGAGAAGCAGAACAAGCCACAGCTTCCTCACCTCACCAGTTCCTCTGCTGATCCTGTTTCCTTAGACTGGAAGCCTCTGAGTCTTCATTCAGAATGAATCTCAGCTGAACTGTTTGTTGCTCAAAAGTCTAAAAGCTTAACCAGCCCTAGTTCCTGGTCTTCACGCCTTAAATACCTTTCTGCTTTCTGCCATCACTTCCTGGGATTAAAAGCGTGTGTCACCATGCCTGGCTGTTTCCAATGTGGCCTTGAACTCACAGAGATCCAGAGGGATCTCTGCCTCCAGAAGGCTAGGATTAAAGGCATGAGTGCCACCATTTTGTAGCCTCTGTATCTAGTGGCTGTTCTGTTCTCTGACCCTAGATAAGTTTATTAGGATGCACAATATTTTGGGGAACACAATACCACCACAATGATAACATTTTCTTTCTTTTAATCATCTACCAACACCCTCACTCATTGAAATCCTTCTCCACTCCAAGTTACAAGGGAAATCATACCTAGGACATCAACATCAAGATTATTAGTGTTGCAAAGAACACAAGTTCTTGCCACCAGGAGGACAAATTGGACGATCAAAATGAAGCCTGATAGCTCCAAATTATTGGCTCATTTCTTCTATATCAGAGTTGTCTCCACCAGCGACACAGGTCCACATTAATGGCCTGATTTTTCACAATGCATCTGTGAATCAGTAATAGGATTACAGTAAAAACTAGTGTTCCCCTTTATTCAAGAGATCTTTAGGTAGTGCCTGTCTTGTGTCAGAAGCTACACCAGGCTTTAAGATGCAGCACGCTGCAAAGCAGGTCTAGTTTTCATCCTCACAGGGCTTAAAGTCTACAGAAGGAACAGATCAGCGTTGAGTAACTGCTATGAGAGAAACTGCAGATACTTGGGAGAGAGCAGAAAGTTAGAGGGCAAAATGCACCAGAGCTCCATGGCCCATCAACAGCATGAGCAGTCCGGGAAGTGAAAGAAAAGTCACGGATGGCTTGCGAAACACAGATGATGCACATGAGGAACTTGGCAACCGGAAGAGGACTGTGAAAACAGTGGAAGCACAAATTTTAATGGGAATTATGCCTTTCAAAGAAGAGTACCTCTAACCAATGCTTATGGGTGATTGCCAATGAAGAGATTTAGCCAAAGATGAACAAGTTCCATTTCTTGTCCTATCTGGTGTTACCAGCCACGGAGTCCAAATCTCACAGGAGTGATAAGTCTGTTCAAATTCTCAGCGCCTTCTGGATCCTCCTCAGCAATATTAAATTCAACCATATCCAAGTTCACAGGTTGAAAGATATTCTTTCACATGAACTTTCACCCCTGACATATCAAGATCATACTTTAATATGGTTATACCTGTCCACTTACTTTATCTTTGTTTTGAAACACTGGACCTGCTGAGCATGGATTTACTCACAGATTACATACAAAGATGTATCAAAAGCTCTTCACCAGACCAGGGTGATCTTTTGCCTAGCATGTACAAGGCTTTGATTTCAATCCTCAGCATCATACACAGGCACCAACATCAAAAAAAAAAAAAAAAAAAAAAAGATCCAGGTACCATTATAAACCTCTAGGTATACATCCTACTTCTCAAGCATCAGAAATCTACAGAATACCTTCTGACTCTCCCAAACCTGCTCTGCCCAATTTACGAATCCAGTACATAGAGCCCTCACAAATAGCCCATGGTTCTATAGTGTGGATCTGAAATGTCCAAGAGCCCATGTTTAAAGAGCTTATTCTCCAAGATGGTTCTGTGGGACATTGTGGGAACCTCTAAGAGGCGAATCCAGTAAGAAGTCTTCAGGTCATGGGTGGCATGTCCTCAAAAGAAGTATCTGGACCACAGCCTCTTTTCCTTACTGTTCCTTACTTTGTGGTTATGAGGTGAACAGACATCTGCTGCCATGATGTCCTGACCCCATTACAGGCCCCAAATCATTGCATCCCACCGACCATGGGATGATGCTTTCCAAAGTGTGAGTTAAAGAGAATCTGATGATTTCAAGCTTAGTGTGCAGGGGATGGTGTTTTGAAAGAAGATAGATGTCCTTCATGCTATCACTAACAAGAAGCTGCAAGGAGCATGCCTGCCCCGGCATCCCAGTCTCAACCAATTTTTCACATTTCGTTGCTGAGACCCAAGACAGAGAACACCCCTAGGGTGAGATGGATGAAACCTTTCACTTTCACAGCCTCTTTTTTACCTCACCTTCCTCCTCCTTCTACTTTTCATATCTAGCTATGATTTTTTTCCCCCAGAACTCCTCTGAGCACCTTCCCATTCAGTACTATATTCTCTGTGCCTAGAGAAGTTTCCAGATTGTTTCCTCCATCTAAACCCATCTACTCCAATGTGTCAGGGGATTGCTACCAAGAAACAACTGAGCATTTGCCCAGGAGAATAGTCAACACAATGCTTCTGTTCCTGTAGCATGAAGAAGGAGCATAATACTCACAAGACCCCTGGAAGCCCCATAGATTGGATACAGAGACATTTCCAAAGACTGTTCTGGAAGACTTTTATTCAAACCCAGCAATTGTTCATATCTACTCTGTGACTAATGACGTCTTTTTGTTGACCTGGGTCCATTCTTTTATTCATTTTCTTAGGCATAAAGCTAATGAAATATAGTTTCTTCTCCTCATTAAAGAGCATCAGTAAATAGCTAGGGATAGTGTAGGCAATTGGTATGGTTTTGTTACTTCACAATATTGGGAGTAGTTGCTCACAGGTCTATAGGAAGTAAGGCGTTAGTGATATAGCCAGAAGAATATCCTCTAACGGAAACTGAAAATAAAGATAATCAAGTTCCAGTTCCCTATACATGGTCAAGCCTGTACCAATATGTGGCATTCGTTGGATTAAGAAAATGTGGTACATATACACAATGGAGTACTAGTCAGCAGTAAAAAAAACAATAACATCATGAAATATGAAGGCAAATGGATGGAACTAGACAATGTCATCCTGAGTGAGGTAACCCAGACTCAGAAGGACAAATATGGTATGTACTCACTTGTAAGTAGATATTAGATGTAAATCAAAGAATAACCAGACTACAACCCACAGTTCCAGAGAAGCTCACTAACAAGGAAGACCCAAAGAGGGACACATGTATTGCCCTAGGAAAAGGAAATAGATGAGATATCTATGAGTAAACTGGGCATGAGGGGTGGGCAATGGAGGGTAGGAGATGGGGGATGAGAACATAAGGGAATGGGATGGTTGAGTTGGAATAGGGATGGAGTGGGAAAGCAATGAAAGAGATACCATGATAGAAGGCGACATCATGGGGATAGGGAGAAACCGGGTGCTAGGGATGTTCCCAGAAATCCACAAGGATTACCCCAGCTTAGACTACTATCAATAGTGGAGAGGGTGCCTGAACTGGCTTACCCAAGTAATCAGATCGGTGAATACCCTAACTGTCATCATAGAGCCTTTCTCCAG